CGAGTAAGGGAGGTGACAGATTACATCTTTTGATGTAAAAACATATGTTGCTTTAGCAGATGTTATGCGATTGATAAAAGAATTGTCAGATGAAGTATAAAGTATCGCGTCTTGTGCTATACAGAAGGAAAAGATAATCATAAGTTTCTTTCTAGTTTTAAAATCCATTCAGGGATTTCTTCTTGTGTGAATGTCTTAATTTACAAACTCAACAGTTTTATTCATGGTTTTGTACATTATTTTTAGCAAGCAGAAAATAGAAGCAAAACAATCCATTGTATAAATATGACCATACAGAATTCCATGCCTTTGGTAGCATTTAAATCCAGAACTCTTGGACCATTTCAAGATCTCTTCTGCTGCCACCATAGTGTGGGTATAAGTATTACCCTACCGTCTTTTATGTGTAATAGTTACCAAAGGAGCTCTAATACACATACTTTTCCAGGACACTACACAATTAATAAATAGTTCTCAGAAAAATAGTATCTGTCAGCATTCCTGGAGTTTATTCCTGGATTTAGGGGGTAAGACAGCAATGATATCAGTAAATGTAGTAAACCACAGGAATGTAATACTGTCAGTCTGCATGTTTGGACTTCATGGTTTAGATTTAGAGTTGCCTTGTTTGCAATCTCACTGTAAAATGAAGGCAATGATGAGTGTTTGCTTTCTCTGGGCAAGGAAAGTAAGAATTGACTCAATACTAAGCACTTTGAAGGATACACTGCATTTTAAGAGAAGATGAGAAATAAGGGTGGATATAAGACATGACCTCCTAGCTTCAACAAGCATTAAATTGGAGGAGGAGAAAAAAGGGTTCACTGATGTTGTGGGAGAGGAGCTGGACAAGTTTGTGATCCTGGTAACATAATTTGATTTGTCTCACGCTAGCTACTAGTAATGGGATGCAAAAGAGGGCAGGAAATCCTAATGGTTCTTAGCTCCTTTAAATCTATGTATGCTTTCTTAAGAGTACAGAGAGGATTTGTGTTGACTCATATACCTGTCAGTGGTATATATACATATCAGTGGAATTATAGGCAGCATTATAGTGACACTTTGCAGTTCAAAGCTCTTTCAGTTGTCCTTATGGTCCCTCTTCCTCCCTGCCTTCCTAACATGTTCCCATTGCACTTTATGCCGGTTCATCAAGACAGCTATTTTCCTGGATGTAGAGTTATTTTTAACTAATTAACCTGGTCAATCTGTTCAAAATGCCATAACTGCATATATTTTTAGAAAGACACATTTTGCAGTTTATGGCAGGATTATACATTTCAGAGTGATCTCTGGGGAAAAAAAACCCCAAACATTCTACTGGTCACAAAGCAAAATTACACTGATGTGAAAGTCACTAAAGCAGTCTGCTGTGACTCCATGCTTAAAGGACATAAAAGATACCTTACAGTAAATCAAATATAATGTAATGTAAGGGGAACCCCCTCAAAAAAACTACCACCGTCGTATATGCTCAGAGCTCATTTGCGGGAACTGCAGAGCAATTGTGAGGGTGCTCTGCACAGTTTATTGTTAGCTGTCTGGCAGAAGTAGGTGTGCCTATGCTGTGTCTTCGATGTTTCTTTGACTACTTTGAAGAGAGGTGTCAAGAGAGACCTTGGTGCAGCCCTCTAGACTTTTTGCTCCAAGCCAAAGCTGCTTCTTTCTGTAGCAGAAAAACACTTTCATGGCCAAACAAGTCTCTACAGGCACACACCTTCTAAAATTCCAGCTACTGATTTATCTCATCCAGTTCCTTCTTTTCCTTCAGAACACCAAATTGCATTTTCATAATTTTATAATTAGGAGGAAAAAAAGGTCTTTTTGAGTAAGTTTCACAAGGTCATTTAGAGTTTCTCAGGCTGATAATATTAAACTAGGATGGATTTAGCATCAAATTATGTTCTACAAAATATATTCTGGTTTGGTGTTTTTTTTTCTGCCCTCCCCCCCCAGAGACTGAGTCTGTCTGGTTACTCATTGTACAAGTTCTAAAAATATTCTTTGAAATCTGTCCAACAGATTGTACATGTACAACAGCTTTGGTTGTACACATTGACTGGTTTGTGTTGGAGGTTTATGGTAGAGCTAAGGATGTCACTTTAATACAGAAAAGGAAAGCCAGCTAGAAACATTTTAGGCAGAAAGATTATGGAGTAGTATCTACAATGATATGGTAGCCCTAATACCAGTCTTCTTTTAGATTTTTCTAAGCTTTTAATTATAAAAGGTTCCTTTTAACTCCTTAACCTGCCTGGGACTGGAATCTGAAAGGATTAAAAATGGCTTAAACCATTATACTCGTCTTTTCACTCTATCTTCAAAATCACACTCTCAGGGAAAATTCTGGTACAAGCATGACTATTTGTGATTATGGCTTATGCATATCGATTTCCTATTGAATGTGGTCTGCTCCACTGTTCTTCATACCTTTCCAGACCATCTGAAGGGTAATTCATATATCCTAATGCAACAAATATATATTGAAGATTGAGCAAGACAGAGATTTAAAACATATTATACATACTTTTCTGCACAGTTTGCAATAAGAACTGTTGATTGTTGTAAATTCAAAACATGTGTGTGTTTCTCATCAGCTGGGGTTCAATGAAATGCAAAATATAACCTAAAATATAGCCTAAAATATAAAACATACATCAAGGACTTATCAGGTAAGTCCTACACACAAAGTTCAATAAGTAAGTCCCTTCAGGAAGAGTGTTGCTTGACCTAGTAAATAACAGCTGACTATCTCTGAGAGAATCTGAGCCAGCATCTGCTTTTCCAGCAGCATGAATCAGATATAACTGCGTCAACAGCAATACATGTTTCATCCTACTTAGATTAAAATGAATCTTGGTGCCCAGCCTTCAAGCTGTTGGTGTAGATACATTGGCTGGTCTCATTCTGAAAACTGGAAGTTTTGTTTTTCTTGCAGTTGGATAAGTGGAATGAATGTCCTTTCAACTGTATCAGTTGTATGTAAACATACGGTTTGTATAAAAACATACAAAAAATGTTTCCATTGCAGTTGAACTCTGTATGCAGTTGTGGAACAAAACTTCATTAAACAAAGTGAAACTTTTCCTAAAATTCCCTTACTTCATCCATATATTGTGGTCATTTAGTTTGAACTTAAGAATCCTGATCCTCTTTATATGTCTCAGATAAAAGCAGTCTTTGTCACATTTGTTCCCAAGTCTTTTGAATTCCAGATTCCAGATTTGCTTTTCAAGGCTTTTATTAATGCAGGGACCAGCCAGTTTTTCTGAATTCTACAGGCTTGGCACCAAAAGAAGGAAAAAAAAAACCCTAACAATTGAATCTGGGGCCCAGATCTCTTCTCTCTCCTTCCAGCACCTCCTGAAATGCAGCAGAAGTGGTGTAGTTGTATTTCATAAGTTACAGTAGGGCTTCTAACATTGTGAGCTTAGAAAATATATCCTCATTTCCTTTCCAAAGCATAAGAAAGTGGTTATTGTACTGCACTACTGTGTTGGTTATATAAGAATCACCCATTTCCCTGCACTATCCCATACTCTTGCTAACATGCCAGGAAATAAAGTGTTTGTAATAAGTAACTGGGTGGTGTTATGGTCTGTTCTTTCATGTAATTCCTGAGCAGATTCTGAAGTGCAGCTCCAAATTACTCTAGGATTTGGAGCTACCACTCTAAGTCCTGAGGTGCCACAAAAGACCCCAGCGAGAACTGCGATTTTGCAGGTGTCCTACAGAGCTAGTGATGAACCTCAGCCAGGTAGTTCTGAGGTGGATTTTTGAGTAATTTTTTAACTTACTCTTATTTTTCTTTTACTGTTGCAATGGGGAAAGGAATCTTACACAACCACTTCCTCTGGTTGTATGTTCAGTGTAGATTTTTCAACATATATGAATCCCTGCAGCCCATTTAGAGAGTGGTCCTGCCTTGGCAGATTGTGTCCTGTAAGGGGCACGTACTTGGGACAGATATATCCCATGTTTCCTGCTGCAGAGGAAGAGGAACGTCAAACTGAAAGTGCAATGGCCTCTTATAAAGAGCCCAAAAAACCTGGAATGTAGTAGAGGAGACAGTCTAAAGAATGGTAGTACCTGGAAGGGGGAGCATCTCCTTGAGCAGAATGCCCTAATATCTAGTTATTTTGCTATGATAGTATCTGTATTCTTATGAACTTGAACAATCTCATTTGCCATTTCTAATGTATGTAATAAATATTAGTATATCAGGGTCTTTGAGAAGATTCAAAATACCTTCAGAATAGTAAGTGAAGGAAAGCCTTATAGTGCGGACCCTTTTTTGACTCACAGGCTTAGCCATCCAACTAATTTGCATGAAGTTTAAGTGAGAGACTTAAATAGCAGTGAAGATGTTTCCCATGTTGTAGATAGGAAACTCCCTTAGAGACTTGAAAAATTCTAAGATAGTCGAATTAAACATGATTGTATACCATATAGATTCACAAAACAAGTTAATGTAATTTATAGACATTTTTATGGCATGGCTTAAAAAGTAATAAGACTCTATTCATACCTCTCTGGGAATATGGGTATAAATTGTTGGCAGTCATCAGTAATGCTCACATCTCAAACTCATGTCAAAGTGCTGGGCTTTACAATATGGTCATATACTCACTATGTAACATATGAGTAATTTCATGTGAATATTTTCTAAGAATATTATGCTGTATATGTTCTGTTGCAGATTGAATCTTCCATTTTTCATGGCTATATGAGCCAGTAGGTCCTACAATAAAGTTTGGGATCAGTTAAAGCTGCTCTCTTAACATACATACTGTGTTAATATACTCCAAACTCTTGAGGATGTGAAGAATTGCCAGTATATTCTGACCTTGACCATGCCTCTGTTCAGCCTTCATTTTTTTTCCTTTCTGAGCTTGCTTTATCCATTTAGGAACTTTTCAGCATGTTGTGCAAAACTGCAAGCATGATAGTTAAGCTTTGCAAGATCTTTCTAAAAAGAAAAAAACCTCAAAACATCTCTCTATAGCCTCTGGTTTAGTTTTCATTTTATTTGTCATCTTTTATGAACAAATTACGAAATATACTTCATTCACAAATTGGAAATATTTACAATTTCTTTACAACAAGGCATTATTGAGGTTTTGAGTTATGGCATTCTTAGAGCATTCTGTCTTTCAAAACAAAGACATTGGTGTGGTTTTCAGCACACTGTTCATTTACTCTCTGTATATGAAATGGGAGGCTTTTGGAAGAATTTGCACTCTCTTTTGATATGATCTACTGAGGATAGGAAAACTGAGGCAGGATGCATTCCAAATGTGTGGAGGGAGACTGTGCAGATGTGTTGCTGTACCATGCCATGATCTGAAGCCATCATATCACACTAGATGCTGCTAAGTGGAGAGGAGAATAAGATTCCCCTGAGCCATTCTTCCTCTGCCTTCTATGAGCTGGCTAAATGTGGTCCAGTTTAATTTTTTTTTTCTGTTTTTTGAGTCTTCATGAGAATAAGAATCTTGAGAAGTCTATTTCAAATACTATCACGATTCTGAAAAGTTATTCAGACAAAAACTGAGAGACAGTAGCCAGGAAGTGAATAAATACTGTATATCCGCAAAATGTTTAGAAGACAAATTTTGAACATGGTTCTAAAAGGGAATTGCAAATGTGCTGGTCTGCAGTTGTGACATTTGAGCCATAAAAGCTAAGATAGTTCCATTTTCTCAATTTCTTGGAGTCTTTTTTCCTGAAGAAAATTCTAAAACCACTTCTTTCCATGGAACTTTTAAAAATCTCTTTAATATACACTTCCATTATAAATCAGATGTGGGCCACCGTTGCTTAGATTGTCTGTCATTTCCTGGAACAAGAATAGAAAACACTAATTAAAATTAGAATTATTTTATGGTCATCAAAATTCAGTCAGCTAAGGTTGTAATAAAATTTGAACAAATTCTGAATTTCAAACATTCAGAAAAACTTCACATTTTTTATTTGGCTTGATAAATCTCACTATTAAAAAAAAAGAAATCAGATTTCTTCCTACATAAATTAAGTACATTTGAAAGCTGATAGACTCATTGATTGTGATTGAGTTGGACATTACACTCAGACCACATATACAGCATTGGTGGCATCTGTGCAAGTTTTTTGATGTCGTCCTTTGAAATTGCATCAATTTTGTGCTAATCTACAAAAGAAATGGTAGTTAAGTCTCTGTTACCATTCAAACCCTTTTCTGTGCTGACATGCCATAAACAGATGCCATTCAATGCTTGCTGAGATATACATTTAGGAAGTAGGTTCTGGATCCAAACAGGATCTGAGGGTCTTAACTCCTTGCTTTCCCTTGGGATGGGCCTGATTTTGGTTTTCCCTTAATATGCCAGTCTACAATTTTTAGCAGTTCAGCAATTGCTACTCCAGTGGAAGGTGAGTCATCCCAGAGTAAGCTGACCTGCTCATGAGTCAGAATCCTAAAGCAAGATTTCTTTGGAGTTTGATTTTCTAATCCTGAAATTGAAATCCAAACAATACCCACTTAGCAGCTGCCTAAGCATGGAGATGGCTACAGTAATTAAGCAGTTCCCTGACCTTCAAGGCTGCAAAGCCACACAGAGTTTATGGTCAGAACAGCCTTATTATGAGCAGTCCTAGGCCTATTTCATACCAAATTGAATCCGGATGCAGAAATAAGTGATCTGCTGCTTATGTCTAATGACAGAGAACATCTAACTATGCCAAGAGGAATGGGCATACATAAAAGTGCAGCTTGGGGTATTTTTAAAATTCAGGTAGATGAGGTGGAGGTGCCACTATGGAACTAGTTCTAAAACAGTTGCATGAGGACCAGAAACTCTTCTCTGTGTGGAAAGATTTAATTCCTCTGTTCTTCCTAGGTACACTTGGAAAAAAGTGGAATAAAAGGGATTTGTTTGTCCCCCTTCGTGTGGAAGCTTCTATGAAAAAAGTGAAGATTCATTGGCCTAGACAGAGGGAAGAAAAAGAAGAAAGGAAGGAAGGCAAGAAGGGAGGCAGGCAGAAAGGCAGAAAGAGAGAAAGAAAGAAAGAAAAAAAGAAAGAGGAAGAAAGAAAGAAAGAAAGAAAGAGAAAGAGAGAAAGAAAGAAAGAGAGAGAGAGAGAGAGAAAGAAAGAAAGAAAGAAAGAAAGAAAGAAAGAAAGAAAGAAAAGAAAGAAAGAAAGAAAGAAAGAAAGAAAGAAAAAGAAAGAAAGAAAAAGGAAGGAAGAAAGCCTACCTTTATAGCTTAGTAGCTGAGATTCTTGGTAAAGAGAAGAAAATTATGCAACCTTGTCTTTATTACTAGCCTTGCTCTTTCTGTCTCTTCTTTTAATCCACAGTATTTGAGAAGCAGAGACTGGAACTTAAGAGTTTAACATAAAATGGAAGCACTGATGCCTCCTGTCTCAGGTATTACCAGCTGCATTTGAAAGAAAGAATGTCCTATTCCTCTCAACAAAGTAAGCTTAGGGCCATCAAACGAAGTAGCCTTGCCTGTTAATACTCCTAAATCAAGTATAAGCCTCGCAGAAAATAAAGTGTGTAAAGTTAGTGAATTCTGAGTATTTTCTACCTCCCAAGTCTCTATTTGCAGATGATGGTGTTGGATGTTTTTGTATGGTGCCTTACTCTCCTCATATACTGAACAGGAACAGAGATGCCTAACACTGGACTCTGGATCCAAGTTGGGGGTTGTCTGCTCTGAAACAAGACATTATGTTTTACTTATTTGTAGGTGCCTAAAGCCTTTGTTGGATCTACGCTGAAGAAATCTGTCAGCTGGGAAAGGGACCAAGAATACCAAATCCCTTTAATCGTAATTAACAGTCAGCCACATTTTGATAGCAATGATCTGCCAGAAGGCTATTCATGAGTAAGTTTCCTTTTGTCAGCTTTATCACTTGAATCTTCTGCAGATATCAGCTATTAGAACATCATCATAATTTCAGAAACTATTGAAAATCATTTCTTTTCCCCAATAGTCCTATTAAAAAAAAAAAGTATTAATACATTTTTTTAAAAAAGTTGCTATATTCAAGGAATTAAGAGCACACAGATTAGAAGCAGAGTGAATCAATGGTGGTTACATCCAAATAAGAGTATTTGGATGCCTATAACTAGGGTGAATATTTTAAATACTCAACTTACTTCCGGATTGCAGCGTTCACCACGTAGAGTTATGTCACTACCTGGAAGCACCATTCCTGGCTCAGAGTGACATCACAGCATCAGCCAATTTTGATTAGCTGAAACTATGACCTCCTCTTAGAGGTGGCCCTTCCTGAAGTGACATAACAACATGGTAGCTCCCTAGTGTTCAGCGTACCTTGGAGGTAACTCTGGTGTCGGGGGAATCACCGGGCAGCTGGGCAGGTCGGTTATTTCAATACCCCTCAATCTCTAATATAAATATAACAATTATACAATAAATATAGCACAAACAAATGCACATGCAGTACATGTCTATATTACTGTATATCAGTATAAATATACAAAATAGTCTTATATATAAAACACTTGAAAGCTATTTTCTAGATCAGGGCCTAATTTGAGGTGAGGTAAGGTTTTAAGCAGCCTTCATTATTTTTAGGGCATGCCATGAGCTAATGTACTCAACCCTGCCAGTAGCAGGCAGTCCACAGGTCTAGGAAGTCCCAGATCAAGCCATCTGCACATGCATACTTGATCCTACAGAAGACATGCAGGAAGTCCCCCATCAGTGGGGCACATCCCACATCTGCTGAGCGTGTGTAATAGAGTTGCTCTGCACATGTGTCATGGCCATTCACCCAAGATATGTGGACACCTGGCAGTCCTTGCTGCTAAGCATCAGAAAGCTCAATAAATCAACAGACCAGGAAAGTAGGCATTGAACTACTGCTATACATTGTCATCGTCAGCTCAAATTGGTAGGGCTGGCAGGTTTCTTTATCTTGAAAGTTTTTTCTTCCCAGGCCATTTCTTTTTCCTTTCCTTCTCTTCTCTCGTCTTTGTCCTTGTTGAGAGAAGGGCCTCTTTGAAAGTCAAGATCTAGCCTACCATCTGCAAGACCATGACCATACTTTCCTACATAGCTCATCAGAATTCTACTTAATTTTAAAATGAGATGGAGAAATGTATCTCTTCTCTTGATTTTATCACCCTGCTTTATGTTACTGTTGTAACCTTAACTATTTAACTTTTTAAAACGTTTAAAACATCATCTTTCTAAAACATGTTTCAAACATCATCTAAGGTGAATTCAGTCTTTATTTCTACTTGGAGTCTCGTCTTAGTTAAGAAACCAAAGAATAGTGACGAGTCATTTTTACTAAATGGAAAATTAACTGCTATATTGTGTTTTGTCAGGGAATCTGAAAACATTCTATAGTTTGAGTGAATTAATCCTTGCTCTGCTGTTCAGAGGTCTTAGTAGATATGATACAGACTGTTGAACTTAACTGTAATGCAGACTTGCCTGTGGAGGTTTACATGGGCAGTCCACTTGACTTTTGTTCTCTTTTCTACTCGTTTCACAAATGAAAGGCATTGGATAATAAGTCCAAATGTAAAGCACAGGGTAGCAGTGAACATTTAAGGAGTTAAATATTAATCATATCTGTAAAGTCAAGGAGCTGATTTCAAGAATTCCATTCAATTAATTGTTTTTACCCTGTGTGTTCAGCTTTTAGAGCTTCAGTTTCAGCACCTAAACATGTTCCTTCCTATACACCTTACTGAGCTTCCTTTTAATAGAGAAAGGAAGCAAATGCTCAGTGCTGCTGCAAATGAGTCCAGTTTCATTTATGTGTCTAAATATGCCCTTAGATGCTTAGGTTTGGTTATCTAAGTTTGTGAACTGTGGCTTGTGTGTTTAAACAACCTACTTTATAAGCTGAGTACTTGGGAGAGGAAGAAATTGATTAAATCCTAGAAGCATGCAATGATGTGATTACAGAAAGCATTCTGTGCTTTTTTTCACAGTGAAATACATGATAATCCATATTAATAAGCCTTCAAATTATTTATGAAGTGCTATATTTAGCAGCTAAGCCCTTGAATAGCTATATAATGGAATTATGTTGAAAATGGATGTACTTCATTGAAATGGATGTACTGAAAATATACAGTACCTAAAAATAGCTCCGTATAATTCAACATAATAAAGCTTACACAGAATGGCAGCATTTCATGTCCCAGAAGCTCTTTCTCATATAAAATAGAAAACTGAATACACCTCTTGCCAATTGTAAACTTTAACACATACAGTAACATTTCAGGAGAAGCAGAACAAATAAGGGAGGACACACAACTCACTTTTTCTGCCATTTCATGGGAGTGATGCAATGAATGTTCTCTTTCTGAGAACATTCGCCTTTGTTCATAGCTGGCTAGCCGACAAGTGAGCCATGAAGAAAGGGTGCAACCGCCAATTCCAATGCATGCAAGAGACATGGAGGCAAGATGCAAAGAATAGAGAGCAGATGACTTCTTTGTCAGAGCACGAAGAAATTGAAAATTTAAGATTCCTCCAATTAGTCCACAGATGCAACAGGCAGAAAAAAGTATCATCTGTCAGGAGAGACAAGAGAAGTTATGTCACAGTAACATTTTTCAGAGATGGATTCATGCATATAAAAAATGAGACTAACCATAATTCAATTCTTTGATAACGTCACTGGCTGCAAAACACCACACAGACACTTATTTTTAACTCCCTCAGCTCCCACATTGCTCCAAGGGAATACATTACTTTCTGGTATAAAAAAGTTAATGTTGATATTGCATGTAAGATAAAGCTGGGTAAAATGAGTAGGTAATATTAAAACCTAGTCAATGGAAGGACTGCTAGGACATAAATGTGATTTCCACCTCTTCATGCAGAACAGTAACATGACAGAATGTGTTGTAATTTTCTATTGTGCAGTTTCTCACTACGCCTCAGGAGTGAACGGCTCACGTGTTTGTAATCAATCTCTTGCTTTTTGTGCCATCTGATTGTCTCCTGCTCAATTATAATTTATTCAGTCAGACAGCAGATTGGAGGCTTTCTGCAGCTTTTGCGGGGACTTTGGAAGTATTCAATGTGAATGTGCTGGTCAAAGAAGCAAGAGAAACAACAGAGAAATCTGTGATGCTGCTCTACAGAAGGTTAATTTGGTGATCGTGTGTTTCGTTGGTTGGTTGGTTGATTTGGTTTATTTGATTTTAACTTGATTGAAATGTTTCTGGGAATTTTAGAAGGCTGTGAAACAGGCTGCAATTAATGAGATGTTTAAAGATCTCCTACTGCTTTTAATCGCAAAGATGCTGTCCTGATTCAGGATGTACTTGAGACACAAATGGCTCAAGAGCAAAGGACCTTCTTGTGGAGACAGTACTAATCAGAGTAAGTCTTATTCACTTCCCTTGATACTACTGACCTGTCACATGTTGATCTAGAAGGGTCTTTATGTTTCTCAGTATGGCTTTGTATATGTACTTATCTACTGTGGTAGCAACAATTTATGGAGCCTTGCTGACTGTTTCTGTATGCAACTGGGATGAGAATTTCATCAGGAGTGTGGCATTGAGGCTGTCTGTTGCAGTCCACTGCCAAGTGACTATTCCATGAGACCACCAGAACAGACAGCTTTTAGAAACTGGATATGGTACGCATGTTTTAAGAAATGAGGCTATCATTGTAACAGGGTTTAGGATAACTCATTGATATTCAAAAATAATCTGAGAGAACTCTTGATTCCCTTTGCACTTACGCTGGTTTTATGTGACTTCCATCTGTATGTGGTAGAATAATCAAGCTGACAGAAAATTAAGTAAGGCATTGTCACTTACAATAGGATCATCTCTATTACAAAGTTCTGCTGTGACTTGTGTAGTAATAACATCATTTTGCTGCAGTCAGAAAAATGACTGTACTTCTGATTCTTAGAAGAGACAGAAAACATCTACCATCGCTTACACATATTTCAGATTGAAAAATGAACTTATTAAAATACTTAACAGCTATGATATCTAGAATCAAACTTGGTCAGCAGCCTTATTGAGATGGCAGCCCAGTATTGTTTTTTGAAGGAGAGAAGATGCAATCCAGTGACGTTATTGAGAAACATTTATTGACATGATATATATCTGTGTCAAAAGGTTTCCTATCCAAGTTTATCCAGAAAATGATAAATAGGGATGTGTGGCTTAAATAGCATGACCTACGTAGGCCATTTCAGAACTGCCTTGTTTTGCTTGAGTATCCCAAAGTGCTGATTGCATTTTTGGATTGCTGACTTGAAATTTGTATAAGTTTTTGTCAAAAACACTTGGACACAGAAAGCTGCTAGTAAAGAGTTCAAGTTAGATAAGTATGCCTTTCATATACTTATGTGCTATAGATGCAGTGGAAAAACTTACAACAAGTCCAGATTTTTTTTTGGCGCACAATATTCCACATATGCCGCAAAGCAGGAACTGCAAGAAAAAAAACCCAACAAACAATTATTTAATCATTTAAGGTATGAAGTTTAAATCTCACTGTGTTACTGTGGTGGTAACCACAACAGTAGTTTAGGCAATGATTAGACTTGTCAGCATTTTTATCACAAACCTTATTTTCAGGAAGTTATAGCTCAACCATAAACATACTTATCTGATAAGAAATTGGAGTGAGAATGTGCATGATTACTCATAAGAAAGGAAATCCAAATTTTAAGCTTCTTGGCCAAACAACTTGAGAAAAAACCCCAAAGTTGCAAGCAAAAAAAATGCCTTTTTACTGTTTGTTTTTTTTTTTCTCAGAAAAGTTTAGCAAGGTAGTAGTCAGTGATCCAAATCATCTTCTTCCAAGTATAGCTTAAGCACTTAATGTTGTGATCCTACCATCTGAACTGAGGGATCATACATGGATTGTTGTCTTCAAAACAGTGGAACTTTGGGCAAGAATGTAACTCAGTCACCTCTGTGGGTGCAGCTGTAAATATAAGTACACCTTTGGGTGGTTACTCTACTCACTTTGCAAGAGATAGCATGAAGGTACCTGTACTTTGTTTTATGTAGTTCCCTCACAAAAACTGATCTGCTAATTGTGGCGTCAAGCATTAGGCAAAAACTAATCAAGAAAACCAAAACCACTCCCTACCATCTGATATGAATTGATGTTAATACTTTATAGTGACCTCTGTCAAAGACCAATAATGTTCTCTGATGTCTCTTTTTCCTCCTACAGAAAAGTTTAATGAAGGAAACAGTGAATAGTCCCCAAGGGAGCAGTCATGGTAGGAAATACAGTAGTTGTGTGAAAGCAATAAGGCCTTCTCCAGGTGTTAGTAATACTGTCAAAAGATTTCCTTGATACCTCATAAACTCCTTTATTAAGAAATCTAGGCTACTTATTTTCAGCAAAGCTAACCCTACACCCCTATTGGGAAGTAATTTTGTAGTTTTAAAACTGGATTTTTCCACGTTCTTTTAGCACTGAGACAATATTTCTAGCAAAAGGCTGTGATTGACCTTGATTTAAGATTAAATCACAGAGCAGACCTGACTGTTACATAAGAAATGAAAAAAAAAAAAAACAACCAAAAACCTAGGCGGATTCTATATGGCATTCAAGATCCGTATAACGTGTTACAGTTACATCTCATTTACACTCTAAAATTTTGCAACCTCACTATTTCAGTTAAGGAGGTGCTTTAATACATAGTTTATCTCCCTCCAACTAAAGTAGCTCATGCATATATCTAAGCTAAGTTTTTACTCTAAGTTGGACCCATAAAATCAGTTCCCCAGAATAAATGTGGTTATATTTTGTGTATTATTTACCTTTACACTAAGTATGGGATGTGAGCTTAATACCAGTCTTATTACAGAGAGGGCTGGGCCATGTATATCATGATGCTGAATGGCTCAGGACATACCAGGACATACAACTGGTAATTGCTACTAGAGCCCACTGACTGGAATAATAATAGAAAAAAAGCAAAACAAAACAAAAAAATCACCAATAAGTAATGCTCCCCTTACACCTTTCCCATAAGAAGAAGAGATTTCAGCTCATCATATCTGCTTTGTAAGTTTTCACTCAGGCTTTCTGTGAAGTTTTGGAGTTTCACTCCCAGTCCTGTCATTGCAGATTGCCTTCAACAGGTATGCTTCAGATTTTCACATATAGTATTTTGTATTTCTCAGCATTAATGCAGAAACCTCAAAATAAATTTATTGAAGACATCTTTGTAATTAAATTCTATTCAGTCAGATTTGATAAAGTGAATTAATAATATAGTTATTTTCTGTAGTGAATGACTAGGATTGAAAGGAACTTTTTGTACATAGAAAAATTAATGAGTTCTCGAAAATACAATCAGTAGAGTACAATACAATAACTAGTTTAAAAAACTGCGAGTTTGATAATTTGCCTTCAAAGCTGAAAGAATATGAAAGAGTAGGTCACCCATTGTTTCAAGAATGCTCTAATTCTGCTCCAATTAGAGACAATGGAGCTAATCTACGACTCCTAATGTTTGCTGATGATACTAAACTAGGAGATGCTGTGGACTCTGTCAAGCGTAGAGAGGCCTTATAGAGAGATCTGAATAGACTGGAGAGTTTGTCAGTCACCAACCATATGAAATTTAACAGGAGCGGATTCTGCACCTAGGACAGTGTAATCCTGGTTATACATAAATACTGGGGGACAAGAAACTGGAAAGCAGCATATGGAAAGAGATCTGGAGGTCCTGCTCGATGACAAGTTGAATATGAGTCAGCAGTGCCCCGGCAGCAAAAAAGGTCAACCGTGTCTGGGGGGCCATCAGACAAAGCATCGCCAGCCGGGCGAGGGAGGGGATTGTCCTGCCCTGCTCTGCACTGGTGCAGCCACACCTCGAGCACTGTGTGCTGGTTTGGCTGCCTCAATATAAGAAGGACATCAAACTACTAGTGTCCAGGGGAGAGCAGCCAAGATGATGAAAGGCCTCAAAGGCAAGACTTACAATGAGCAGCTGAGGTCACTTGGATTTTCAGCCTGGAGAAGAGAAGGTTGAGGGGTGACCTCCACACATTCTGCACCTTCCTCAAGGGGGGTCAGTGGAGGGGCAGGTGCTGATCTCTCTCTAATAATCACTGATAGGACACAAGGAAATGGAATGAAGTTTCATGAGAGGAAGATTCTTCGCTGAGAGGGTGGTTGGTCACTGGAAGGGGCTCCCCATGACGCCAAGCCTGTCAGAGGTCAAGGGGCATTCTGAATGCTGCTCTTAATCGTGTGGTTTAATACTAGGAGAAACAGGGAGCAGGGAGTTGGACTTGGTGATCTTTATGGGTCCCTTACAACTTGGAAAATTCTATTACTTTATGACAGTATTTTATTGTGTCATGTATACTCTGTATGTATTTTCTCTACATCTACGGTATTTATACACATACACAAGGAATAACATGTTCCTCAGTTGAAGAACTAAACAGAGAACCAACTGAAATTATTCTGTTCTAACTCAGAGAAGTTGGGTGTTCCTGCTTCTTCCATGTTCTATGTAATTGTGAGATGATCGTGCCTAAGTTTTATAGTCCATATGACTATGAGACAAACAAATTGTGAAACTGAATGCACTTATGTGCCTGAATATGTTAAAAACCTCAGAATAAAAGCACTTGGGCAGTATCAAAGGATTAATGTTATTTAGGTTGAGGATTTTTTAGATGACAGTGTATTACATTCATAGAGAAAAGGCTTGCCCAAAACCCAGTATGGTTATTTATTTATGACAGCAGGCATTTTACAACTAAAACCAATGGATGAATTTGAGCCACAGTGTCAGGCAATTAAACCTCATGCAAAACTTTGAAAATGATGAGCCAAGTTTACCACTCTCTTCTAAGGCTGATTCACTGGGAGCAGTGGAAACCTGCTTTATGGAGAGAGAATTAGTAATACACAGGGCTCAGGAAAACTGCTCATACAGAGTTTCTTTAGGCAGGCTTCTCAATGTGGAGACCTCTAGAAAGGTTAGGATTTCAATAGGACATTATGTGATAGACTCTGTTCTCTGGTTTTTGAAAGAATAGCTAAAGATTTGGGATTTATTTTTTTTTTTTTTTTTTTTTTTTGTGGTATAGGCATTTCCTGTAAAATTTTTGATGTCCCAGTGTTGTGATCAGCAGTAATGAAAATTGGATGGGAGAAACTACACTAGCTCTTTGTACCAGAAAAAGGATGTGAATATAAATCAACTGAAAAGGAATTTCCTGTGTTTGTCCCTGTTTGTCTTTCAATTAGAAATCTTCTATTTTATAATACTGCGAACTGGAACAGAGTCACCAGAGGCTCTGTTTTCTTTACACTCTCTGTCTGTTCCTGGCTATCCTGAAAGACTTAATCTTCATGGTGATATGTCATACCAGTTAAACTTGGTTTCTAACTGTTGAGCTACTCTGGACTACAGTTTGCCCATGACTAACTAACACTGTCATTGTGAGGACTTGCTCCTTTCTACTTGATTATTGATTATCCTCAATCAATTTTTACCAACCAACCTCATGGATTCTTTAAATGTAGTTACATTTTCTAACCATGTCACATCTGAGGTAGGCTAGGCAAACAAACTTATTCTGAAAATACAGTAAATGAGGAGTGGAAAAGAAATACATCACTGAAGATAAACTCCTTTTAAAGAATGTTCAGTTGTTGAATTGTTCACAATTCATGCAGAGAAAAAGACTAAAATATTTCATTAAGGATAAGCTAAACTAATAAGGCCTACAAAATAACCTGGGAGCCAGACAGGGACCCTCAGCTAAGACTTGTTTAAAAACAGATGTCTCACTCTTGGACTTTCATTTTAATTATTATTCATAAGAAAAAAAACCATAAAATACTAAAAAATATCCAAAAAGCTCACTTAAAAACCTACATAGATCACTAACTACAACCAATCCCCATTGATCCTAGGGTTACTTTTGGTTGCAGACTTATTCATACTTCCTATATACATATGATGTTTTGTGTCAAAACTAGCAGAGCAGGCATGTATTGAAACTGTTGGAGCAGGTCCAGAGGAGGGCCAGAAAGTTGATAAGAAGACTAGAGCACTTCCTCTACAAAAACAGGTTGAGAAAGTTGGGGCTGTTCAGCCTGGAGAAGAGAAAGTTGTGTGGAGATCTCATAGTGGTCTTCCAGCGTCTGAAGGGAGCCTGCAGGGAAGCCAGAGAGGGACTCTTAGTTGGAGCTGTAGTGATAGGACAAGGAGTAATGGGTATAAATTGTAAGATGGGAAATTTAGGCTATATATTAAGAAGAAATTCATTACTATGAGGATGATGAGATACTGGAGCAGGTTGCCCAGAGAGGTTGTGGATGACCCAACCTTGGCAATGTTCAAGGCCAGGTTGTACAAGGCCTTGAGCAACCTGGTCTAGTAGGAGGTGTTCCTGTGCATGGCAGGGATGGTTGGGACTACATGATCTTTAATGTCCCT